GAGAGCCTACAACAGGGGGATTTGCCTTTGTTAGAGAGCTCAGTGAAAGCTTCTCTTAGGAAGGGATTGCTAAACTGGGCTCTCAGAGAACAGAAGGGTTTACCAGGTAGAGAATAGCATGTGCAAAGGCCCCGGAGAAGGTGAGAGTTTGACAAAGATGAGAACAGGAAGCAGAGAGAGTGAAGGTGGAGCATACTACACATAGAGGCTGATGGGTAGATGGGTCACATAGGTCATGGTAGAGAGTTTTGCCTTTAACCTAAGAACAATGGTGAATCACTGAAGGTGTTTAAGCAAGGGGTAAAGTAGTAATAGAATAGCATTTTGAAAAGACCAGCATAGCTACAGTGTGGAGAATAGCTTGGAAGAGGCTAGACTAGTTAAGAAGTGAGAGATGGTAGAAACTTGAATAGAGCTGGGGTAGAAATTAAGTGAGTAGACGCTCTGGAGAGCTGTTTGGAAATCAAGTGTACAGAACTTGGTGGTAAGCTGGATATAAAGAACATCGAAGAAGGAGAGGTCAAGAAGGATTCTCTGGCTCCTGCCTTGCTCGAGAGTCAGGTTCAGTGGAGAGGGAGAAGATCATGAGTTTTAGCCATATAGAGTTTGAGGTGCCTTGTAGTCTTCCAGAGAAAATATTAAGTAGACAGTTGGCTATATAAAGCCAGAGCCCAGTGGACAGAAGAACATGGGTGTCTTCAACATACTGGTTATGTGGTCACTTAAACGGCCATAATGAATGATACTACCTACATATGGGAGGAAAGAATATTAGATGAAATGCTCAGTGTAGTTTCCCGTAAAATCTGGTTCTTCCCATCATGGACAGATGACCCTTCCTTCCTCAGTGTAACAGATGTTTTACTATTTTCATCAATGTGGCTATTCTTTTTCTGTAAAGGATATGCACATAAATGGAGATCATGGTGTGTTAGACAATTGTTTTTGTAGCCATGATTTTACAGTCTGCTGTGGTCCAGGGAAGGAAAACAAGTTTGAAAGAAATAAATGTAGATTATAGAAAAGGAAGCAAGTGAATTGATCCCTGAACATCTGCCACAGGGATACCTATCTGCTCCCATTCCCCATAGAAAACTGTATGCTCAGAAAACATGGTGATGTCCTTGGAGAGGTTTTATAGCACTGTCACTGCACAGATATTCTTTGGGCTTTTTCTCAATAGGTTGTTTCCATGGGCCAACTCAGGCAACAGTCCACTGGGTATAGCTCTTTTTTATGAAATGGTTTCTCCAGTCTCAAAAGCAACTTTTATAAAACAGCTTGTTTATACATTAGGGATTTCTATGGTCAGAAGTTTGTTACTTGTAGAGTCAGAGATTCATTCAGGATCCAGGGAGCCTGCAAAAACGTAGAATCACAAAGCCATTAGGGAGCAGTCAGTAAGGTAAGATGCTCCAAAGAAGTGAAACTGAGAAAGTTTGAGATTGTAATGTATGGCTCAGTGATAAGGTTGGCAGTGCCTGTTCAGAAGGACCAGGCTGCAGGAGTGCCCAGTGATTGAGGAAGCACAGTCAGTGGCTTAGACTCTTATAACTCCAAATGTCATCCTAAGACCAGCAGCATCAGAAATGCAGAATCTCAGCTTCTACTCCAGACCAAATATATCAGAACCCGCATTTAATAAATGAGATCCCTAGGTGATTCTTAAGCACTTAAAAGTTTGAAAAACACAGCTCTGTACTACTGTTTGTTTCAAGAAGTGTAGCAATGGTAGGTTAACATATAGGATAAAAGCCATAGGGGAGAAAGGGATTAGAAATGGAAATGCAAGAGAAAGAAGACCCCAAGAAGAGAAGGCCTATGGAGAAGGGAAAAGATCAAGAGGACTGATTAATTTGAAAAAAGAGATGGGACTCTTCCTTTGTTCACAAAAATAGTAAAGAGGAATGGAAGAAGTGTGAGACCACAGGCAGAAAACTGAGAAAACTCTGTGGGCAATGACCCAGTTCTCCCCAATAGACAGCAAAGTCAACCACTGAGGAGGAGAAAGAGAGGTTTGAGGCCAAACAATACTCTATAGTTTAAATTCAGAGGGCTCTAGTTTAAATGACATTTACTTTGGTTAATATTCCTTTGCATTTTTTTCCTGTAACTCATTTAAATAAGTATGCATCAATGTATTAAAATATTAAAACTTCACTGGCCATTTACAATAAAACTTCCATTTCTATAATAGTTGATGAGACATGAACTCCACTAGGGCCAACATTATATACCTTGATGACATATTAAGTCAAATAAACATCATGGTTGCAAAAATGTATAAAAACTTGAAAGAATAGTAATATTAAAAAAAATCTTTACCTATAGTTTTTATGTCTGCAAAGTTTGCTAAATCAATAAAATAATCTGAAAAGTTCATCTCACAGTCAGATATATTAGTGATTTACTTCATTGGTTTTCTGATGACCATTTATCATGAAGCAAAGCATCTTCAGAATGAATGAATGGTGGAAATAAAAAATTTGATGTGCCTGCCTCTCAAGATAAACTAAATATTTGATTTATAAGACACAAATGAACAAACCACCATGGCCTGTCATGTTTTTCCAGTTTCTAATTTATTCAACCTCTGCTCAGTATTGATCCTGATAAGCAGAGTAACCCAAAGATAAATTTATTCACTCCACAGTTTAGTCAGAAACAAGCCAAAAATTATAGATTTTCCCAGGCAGATGATGACAAGCAGTCAGGGGGATGACAAATGGCTGTCTTTAGATTTAGTTAGGACAGCTGGACCAGACATTTCCGATAAAGATTGGAGCATGCTGGTCAAATACAGGTTCATCAGTGGCCATCATTAATTGTAGAGCAAGCACTGCCAGTTACTGCAGGCGCCTACAGAGGAGCTCAGGCACCAGCCCTGCATGGGAAATAGAATCGGTTCCTCAGTATTTTGCAGCACTCCTCTAAGTGATAGCATGACATGATCATTTATCAAACAGAGACTGTCCAGAAAAGTGTCTGCTCCCTTCAATAACACTGAAGGGCAGGAAAGCGAAAGCATTTTATTAAAGACAGGAAGGCAATGAACTACCAGAGCGTATCCAAAGGGTAATCATATTTCAGCACAGGATTAGTTTAGTCTTAAATAAACATACACTGGAGGGAGTATGTCACGGGTCATTTATCAAGTGAGGAACAATTAACAAAACTCTACAGGATTCTTTTTATCTATATAAATTTTAAGTTTTCTTATTATTGTTATTACTTAACTTTTGGATGATGGGCATCATATTCAACACTACAAAAATACAATGCACAGTTCCTTCCTTAGAGGTTTTTAGACTAAGAGAAATACAGTGAAACTCTCACATAAAATAATCACGGGGATGTTTCAAATGCTGTTAAACAAATGCTGTGGAGAGGAAATAATCCAGGGCCCAAGACTGAAAGATGAAGTTACAACTTTTGAAGACAGCTTTCTTATAAGAAATCAACTACTAGTCAGTGAGTCAGAAACGTATTCTTCCTTACAACAATTTTTGTTCTCTACTGACCACAATTAAGAGAAAGGTTATTAGCTGAGGGGTGGTAGGGCAGACAAGACAGAGAATTAACATATTTATTATTTCTGCTTTGTTCCAGACACTTTATGTGCCACAACAACCAATCCTAACTATTCACACTTTATAAATGAGAACACAGACTTGCCTAAGGTCATACAGTAAGCAGCAGTACCAGAAAGGTTGGGATTGTCTATTTAAAAAAAAAAAAAACTCCTATATTTTTTTCACAAATTATTTATTTGGATACCTCAGAGTCTAGTACAGAACTCAGCCATGATTCAGTTAAGTATTTTGTTGAATAATGAAGTAGATAGAACTGGAAATATTTTTACCATTTTACATAAGAAGACACTGGTCTCAAGAAGATTAAGAGAAATACCAGGTGCTCTGCAGTGGGTCCTAGACACCCACCCAGCTGTCCTTGTAATTATTCCCCTAAAATACCATTCCTTCATGTAGATACAGGCATATGCCTGGATGTTCCAAATTTGTTACCTGCATGATATGAAAGAGTTTTTGTGGGGATTTTTTTTCCATGTAAGTTCTACATCCAATGTGGGGCTTGAGCTCACTACCCTGAGATCAAGAGTCACACGCTCCACTAACTGAGCCAGCCAGGTGCTTCTTGTGGGGATTTTTAATATGTGGAATGGAACTGTTGTCACAGCTCATGGTAAAAAAAAAAAAAAAGATTTTCTGGGGCGCCTACGCCTAGGTGGCTCAGTCGGTTAAGCTTCCAACTCGACTTAGGCTCACGTCATGATCTCAGGGTTATGAGATCAAGTCCGGCACTGAGTTCCGTGCTGGGTATGGAGACTGCTTAAGATTCTCTCTCTCCCTCTACCCCTCTCCCCTCTAAAAACCAAAAATAAACAAACCAAAAAAAAAATAATTTTCTAAAATCTAAAGAATAAATGCACTCCTACCAAAAGAAAGTTTTCCAAAAATGGAAAAATGAAATATCTAAGTAACAAGAAACATGGATCAAGCAAAGAATAAGATGGAAAGTACAAATAGGTTAATAAATATACAAGGCTGAAAGGTGAGGAAATGATACCAGGAATAAAAATTCCAAGCAATGCATTGCCAATTACTTTTAGCTTTGTAATTAAGAACACATATGAATTAATCTATACTTTGTATTTCTTAATTTTCCCTTATATCCTATAATTTTGGTCTTGGCTTGAGGAGACCAAACGGAAGAATCATAGGTGTTTGCCTGTTGCTATTCTTCAGAATTTTCATTAATTTTGTAATTCTTACCACCTTATTCTAAAGAAAAGTTATTCCCCTAGATGTGTACAAGATCGATTAGTAGTATAGTAGACCATTTTATTCAAAAAAGATTTATGGTACACCTTTTAAGTACCTAGAAAAGCAGTAATTACCTTTAAAAACAGTTAACTGATATGAAAGGAATATTGATGATTATGAAATACTTGTGTCTTGCTTTTTCTTCTCTAATTATAGGATTTGGAATTTCTACTGAACAAGTTGATGAAGCTGTGGAAAATGGATCTAAATGGAAATCCTGTTTGTCTCAAACCTAAATACAGAGACAGACTGATACTGGTGTCCAAATCACTGGGTATATATTTATATTATATTAATATAATTTTCTTAGAGAAAGAGAACTGCTTAACTTTTTAGTTAATTTAACATCAAGCCTTGAAAAATATAAATATGATGTCTGAATCTATGAAAATAGTCAACTTTAAATTCAATATTTTAAGTAAAAGCAAAAGTTAAAATTGAGAAATAAAACATGAAAAATATCTGCTGTTCAGAAATAATTAAGGCACCACATACCCTTTCTTTAAAAATGTGTAGAACTTGCTGACCTTTTGTCAAATTCTCTTTGGCACAAATCCTCTGAAGATCCCAAGAGAATGTTCAGTTCTTGGATCTGTAGATAAAAATTAATCAAAGTATTCATTGTTTGACAACTGCCCTAAGAACGTACAGGGTTCCTTTCATTTGAAACGGGAGCAAGGTAGGGAGCTCCTTTATGAGATCCTTAGAAATAACAACAGCCTGATTATGCACTATACTGGGGGTAATGGACCACAGCTCTTCACTAGGGACCAAGTCATACAACATTAAAGAGACAAGCACTGCCTTCTCATGAGGGAGATTCATGAAAGAGTTTCCTATATCTGAACTTCTGTGACATGCTATACTTGGGTATAAAAACTAATGCATGGCAAAACCATTTCAAAACTCATAGCTGTAATAAACCTTGATTAATCATGATGCTAGTACAGTGGTTCTCTTAGGGGAGGGAGGGGTTGACAAAGGGTATATCACAAAAATCCAAGATTTTTCAAAATAGATATGCAAGGGTCACACCCTGCCCACCACCCTTGACCCCACCAGCCAGGGGAAGGAAACTGAAAATACACCAGGAAAACAGTCATGTGTATTTTTTGTAAGTTGTGCAGATGAATCTGCAATGCACATTCCCTCAACTCTCCATCTCTTTCCCTTCCTGCCCACCACACACAATTGTATTAATCCACTTTCCTTAGGAAGCAGAGTAAATTGCAGTGGGTTAGTTTAGTCTTAAATAAACATACTGGGGAAAAATCATACAGAATACTGTAGGTGATGCAGTAAAGGATTTGAAGATAAGGTACTGATTTCCAAATAAACGGGATTTAGTCAAAATTTTTTAAAAATAAATCTTTCCGGGCGCCTGGGTGCTCAGTTGGTTAAGCGACTGCCTTCGGCTCAGGTCATGATCCTGGAGTCCCAGGATCGAGTCCCGCATCAGGCTCCCTGCTCAGCAGGGAGTCTACTTCTCCCTCTGACCCTCCCGCCTCTCATGTGCTCTCTCTCTCTCATTCTCTCTCTCAAATAAATAAAATCTTTTAAAAAAAATAAAAATAAATCTTTCCTAAACATATTTTCTGATTATAAAAGTAACACACATTTCCTTTTTTTTTTTAATTTTAAGTAGGCTCCATACCCAATGTGGGGCTTGAACTTACAACCCTGAAAGATCAAGAGTCACATGCTCTACCAACTGAGCCAGCCAGTCACCCCTAAAATTAATACACATTTCTTATAAAAATGCAGAAAATACAGAAAAGAGTATTAATGTCATTCATAATCCCACCATAAATCTGCTAACACTTTAGTATATGTCCTTTGAGTCTTTCCTTTTTGGTTCTAGCTTGTCTTATTTTTTTTTAAGATTTTTTTTTTTTTAATTTGAGAGCGAGAGCACTAGAGAGAGAGAGAGAACAGGCAGAGGGTCAGCAGGGAGCCTGACATGGGGCTCGATCCTAGGAACCTGAGCAGAAGGCAGACGTATGCAACTGATTGAGCCACCCAGGCACCCCTAGCTTGTCTTAGTCTCATGTCCTTTTTTTTCCTAAATGTTTCAAAGCCAAAAACAAAAAAGTGAATTGAGGTCCTGGTTTGATGTGTCCCAGTAAGGACTGTGGAGAGACATGTTTTATAAGTAACCCAGTCCTCACCAAACAGAATGATGAGCCACACATTTGGTTTACTTAGCTGAGTGGAAATAAATTTTGTGTTGAGAACAACTCATTAAAACAAATCTCACAGGTGTTTGATCTTATGTCCATTACCTGGCTTCCCCTCCTGAATCACCTCTATCTGATCATTTCCTAAAAGAAGAAATCAGGCTTACTAAGGCACAGTCTCCTAGTCGTTTCTCAGCTCTGTCTGCAACATAAACATGGGGAAAAAGGGATCATGGTAAAAGATTTGGATTTTCATTCCTTATCTTTATAACAAATGTTTTAAAAATATGTATTGATTTACACATATAACACCCAAAAATACACTAACAAATTATACAATTACTAATAAAAACAAATCTGGAAAGATATCAATAAAACCAAGTGGTTGGGAAAACTAAACATAAAAGAATGACCTTTAATATAAAGTTTTAAGTACAAAGATGCTTGATAATAAAACATTTAGCCAATTTCTTACATTATAATTTGGAGAGCACTAATTTCAGTTAAAATAAGTACATGGGACAATATATGGAAACAATTATATTTCTAGAGTTTATGGTTCTAAGTTTATATTTCCAGTTTCATCACTTTATTTTGTACTTAGGATCTAACAATATTATGGATCATATTTAAATGGCAATGTTAATACTTTCAGTAGTGCAATGAGTAGCAGGATACTGTCACTTTCCCTGTAAGAACATGATTTAAACATTTTTACTACATCCTTTTCTCATTCTGGGATCCAGTGGAAGACATTACATGGATAATGAAAGAAAAATGTGTAATTACCTTACAAAACTACTATATAGCAAATTTTGTTAGAAAGAGATAGTCTTCTTGTCAAATGAAGGCCACATGTAATTACATATAAAACAAAATGTCCTATAAAGGAATAGTTTGATATTTTATAGTATATGTCATATATATACATATACAATGGAATACTATCAACCATTAAAAATTGTGTTTAAAGAAAGACATGGTAAAATGATCACAATACAATAATAAAAATTAGGATGTAATACTATATAAATAGAGAATTCCAACTTTATATAATATACACATACGTAGATAGAAAACAAAAAAATGTTAAAAATATACTGTTAGTGGGTTTTAGTGATTAGTTTTGGTTGTAGAATACAGGCAATATTAATTTTTTTCTTTTCCCACTTTTTGTATTTTCCAAATTACACAAAAAATTATTTTGTGTAATTTAAGATGCTCAATTTTCAAAACCTTTTTAGAGGAACAAAATGCAAACATAGCTGAAATCTTCACAGAACCAAGAGGCCAGCTTTGTGGGCTGTCCCTATCATATCCTATGTCCTAGGAGAAAATAGTGGCACCTGGGTGGCTCAGTTGGTTAAGCCTAGGATATAATAAGCATTATTAATGTATGTGCTTTTAAAATACCACGCTAAATGTACAAAATGTCTTATTCACTTTAACATAAAATATATTTTGCTTTTTCTTAAGAATAATAACCATAATATGGAAATGAATAGATAATATCTAAATTTTGTTGAATATGACATTTTTGTTTTTAAAAAATAACAATTTACATGTGCCTTAGAAGGGAAACCATACATCAAATTGTTTACAGTGACTATCTTTGTCAGTGATAGTAAGGAGAGTTATGGATAGTAATTACAGAGTCTTTTTATGTTTTTTTCACCATGTTTCAGTTGTTTATAATAAGCACATATTCTTTTTGAAATCAGAAAAAAAATAATTAAAAATAAGTAAAAGCTCAACAAAAACAAAGAAATTTCAACCTCTGCTGTAATTTAAGTTCATGTGCCTTAAACCAAAAATATATATATATTACCTATATATTTATATATAGTATTTTTTAACAAATATATTTTTCTATAGAATTTCTCGATGGAAGAGAAATTAAAAATATGGAAAGACAATTCCTAATAAATTGGAAAGCATCCAAAGATGCCAAGAAAATCAGCAAAAAAAGGAACACTAAAACCGAGGATGCAGGTAACTCAAACTAAGTAAGCAGACTGTCATTCATTAGTTAACCACTTCTACTAAAAGAGAGAATATTCTACTCAACAACAACAACAAAAAATGCCAAGAAATAAGAAGCTTTGATTTAGATTTTTTTGTTTAAGATTTGGGGTTTTTTTTAACTTATTTACAATTTCTAGGAAATTTTACCTGTAATGTTTACGGATGAAAGTGGTAGCTCCTGTCAACAAAATCTGTGTTTGGTTCATATTGAGTTTGACTGTGTCAGCTATGAAAACAGAGTCATGAGGGTGGAGGAAAATGCGTAATTTTAATATCTGACAAAAGTGCATGATATTAAATATGCAAATGGTGAAACAACAATCAGCTATGTAAATTGTGAAACCTAAGTCACTAGTATATGTGTTTAGCAGCAGTGCAAAAATCACATTTTCCATCAGGATACAAAATAAAAATGTTTTATGACAACCTCATCTGTGGCCTATACTCTGTAGCTTGTCCCCAACACTTGAATATTTTGTTTATGATATGCTTAAGGTTACAATACAAAGGACAGGTCAACTTCCCTTGCTTAACTTATACAACTAAATGTAGCAAAGTGTAACATGTAACAATAATCTTTACCATACTTGTGAGCATCCTAGAATTCATTCATCACAAATTCTATAGTCCACAACATTGGAATGAACCTCTTCCTCTGTTCCATGACAGTTTGAATGCTAACGGTCCTCCTATTTCACAGCTAACGGGATGGGACTGTAGAAAGGGGTTAGACTGGGGGAATAAGGAAAGGGAAACTACAATAGTGTAGTGAGGCTTCATGCATGGATACCGTATCCTAGGAGCTCTGCCACTCTAGAATAAGGAGGTTGAGGTGAGGAGAAGCAAAGGTAAAAAGGCATGGAGCTCTGATGATTTTGCCATATCATGTCAATTGAATATGAACTGTGGGAAATCGTTTCGAAGAATGGGACTTTCTGAACTGACAGTATACCCATGAGTGATGATGCTGTGTTGGCAATGTGAATTTTTCAAGATCTGAAATCTATAAAATGGACAGGCAGCATTTCTTCTCCTCTGTTTATCCCTGGCGGGCTTTGAAGAGCAAAACCAGACCGAGGGTAAGGATTGCAGTATTTCACATATTTTCAGAATTATAGCAAGGACACCAAAGTACCTTATTAATACTTAAGTATTCATAGAATTCAACACCAGCCCTCACCCAAAAACTGAACCTATTCTAAACATAATGTAGTTTCCCTCATCTTAATAGATTTTAAAAAGTCTTCCTCCTTCAGAAACAATTAAGTTATTTTTAACTTCTCCAATGAAATTCTACAAAACAATTAAAATGTGCCTTAAAGTTTATAATTTAAAAAATTACACTGTCATTTTATTTTCTCAATAAAATCCTTAATCCTTATGAATTTCTTCATAATCTAGTGTGACCACTAACAATTACCAAAACCAATCTTTAAAGCCATTATAGATACAGTAAAAACAAACCATCTGAAAAGTGAATTAAGAAAAGAATCCCATTTACAATAGCACAAAAAAGAATAAATATACCTACAAATAAATTTAACTAGTAAGGTAAGAAAAAAAAGAATTGTATACTGAAAACTACAAAACACTAAAGAAAGAAATTAACAAACAAATGGAAAGACATCTTATGTTCATGAACTAGAAAATTTAATATTGTTAAAATGTCCATAATACCCAAAGCAATTAACAAATTCAGTACAACCTCTATCAAAATCCTAATGGCATTTTCACAGAATTGAAAAACAATTCTAAAATTCATATGGAACCACAAAAGACCACAAATAGTCAAATCAGCCTTGAGAAGGTTAGAGGCATCACACTTCCTGATTTCAAAATATATTACAAAATACAGCAATCAAAACAGTGTAGTCCTGAGGTAAGACAGATATACAGATAAACAGAATAGAATAGAAAGCTCAAAAATAAATCCATGCATAAATGGTCAACTGATTTTTAACAAGGGTGCCAAGAATACACAGCGGGGAATGGATAGTCAAATGTTGGGAAAACTGGATATCCACATGCAAAAGAACCCTTATCATACACCATACAAAAAATTCCACTCAAAACGGATTAAAGACATAAGACCTGAAACTGTAAAACTCTAGAAGAATACACTGGAGAAATCTTCATGACATTGGTCTTGGCAATGATTTCATGGATATGACACCAAAAAGCACAGGCAACAAAAAGAAAAACAAATAAGTAAACTACATCAAACTAAAAAGCTCATACACAGCAAAGGAAATAATCAACAGAGTAAAAAGACAACCTACAGAATGGGAGAAAATATTTGCAAACTATACATCTGATACGGTGTTAAGCTCCAAAACATATACAGAACTCCTACAACTCAACAGCAAAAAAACTAATAACCAGATTTTAAAACGGGCTAGGGACTTGAAAAAGGCATATCTCCAAAGACCTACAAATGGCCAACAGGTATATTTTAAAAATGCTCAATATCATTAATCAACAGGGAAATGCAAATCAAAACCACAATGAGGTATCACCACACACCTGTCAGATGGCTGTTAATCAGAAAACCTAAAGACAACAAGAGTTGGTGAGGATGTAGAGAAATTTGAACCTTGTACACTACTGGTGGGGATACAAAATGGTGCAGCCACTATGAAAAACAGGATGGCAGTGCATCAAAACTTAAGAATAGGGGCGCCTGGGTGGCTCAGTCGTTAAGCGTCTGCCTTCGGCGCAGGTCATGATCCCAGGGTCCTGGGATCGAGCCCCGCATC